CTAGGGTTGTCAGGGACGGGCTTCTTGGCTATTTCATAAGCCACTGTAATTGCCTTAATAACCCATTTGGCAAATCTAAGGGCACAAATAGCTTGTCTAATGCAGGACAAACAAAAGAATTGTTCTAAATGTAGCTGCTCTTTGCAGTCAAAAAGCCAAAGCATGTGAAGAATCTTACTCAGCTGCATGATATGGGTGGAGGAGGAAAAACACTTGCAGCACAATCTCCTGTGCCAAGTGGAACTCCAGTATCATTTTTGTTAAGGAGAAGAGAACATAACAAAACCTTATGTTGGCTCCCGTGAAGATGTGGCCCATTTTATCTTAGGGCAAAGATCTCCTGCCCTGTAGGCAGAGAAAGTAGTGACTAAGAAGCTGTACTTCCAGGCACATTATAGTGCACATGCTTTTTCCATCCCTTCAACGAAGTTGGACAAAACACGTCAGATTCTTAAAACAGAAGCAGAATAGCTATGCCTGTAATTGATGACTTCCTGAAAAACTCTGCTGCTCTGTCTGTAGAACTCCTTCTATCAAACAGATCACAGTAGAGGAAAAGTCCAGATTTTATCCCCGTGACTATCAAATTCACTATAAACTACTAATTACTTTGACAGAAAATACCAAATTCTATTTCAAAAAACAGTTTTTCAGTCTGATTTTTAAATGCAGTAATACAAAGGCTCTAAAATTTTAATTAGCATATCTTATACCAAGTGTTGTTATTTTTCCTCTTTAATTACCGTGTGTCACAGCTTTCCTTCCACTGGCCATTATCCCATCACATAGCTGAATAATTTTTGGAATTCCAATTATCTGTTTGGAGTGGTAACGCTCATAAGATAGTAATACCAAGAAGAAAAAGACACTAGGAATAATTGCTTCTGATTCCCTGGAAGAGAAAAAGAAAGAAAACTGTTGGACTTAGCCACTATAATCAGGAACCTTTTTCTGGTAATGGAGGAGAATATTTTGCAGTAAGAGGTGTCTCTTCTGACACCTTTTCTTGGAGTTTGGGAAGCCAAACTCCAAGAGAAGTGGGAGTCTTAGTTTTGGAGTCACAGGACTAGACTCAACCAATCTATTTCTTAAAAGACAGCCTACACATAACAAGATGCAGCAGATGGTCATGGGATGATAACACAGCAGAACTGCCTTCCATGGTACAGTAACTGCTAGCAGAACTTACGCTTCAGCTCATGTGAAACATCAGTTCTATTTTGTCTGGTAAAGATGAATAACTTCTACACGGAAGCCCTACAGGCAATGGTCTTTGCCCACTATCCAAAAATATAGTTCTGGATAGCCTCTTGGATCCCTTAAAAGTTTGTCATGAGCTTCCTTAGATCTATGTTTTTGTCTACCTGAATAAAAAAATATGACAAAATAGTGACAAAAAAGGTGAACTAGGTCTAGATGTGCATCCTCTTCAGGTTTCTACCACGAACAGGCATGGCAACAATTTTGCGGAACATTCAGATATTTACAATCCAATCTTATGTAATGGATAGAGCGACAGCTACAGAAACTCATGAGGGGTTGGAACTGGTGAAACAACTCCTTAAAGATGTCAAATAAAAAGCCCTATTAGGGTTACTATAAATCAATTCTGACTTCACAGAACATAAAGACATTTACAACATTCACAAATTCACCTGTTTTGATTCAGTGTCAGTTTTTATATCAATTTATGCAACTTGAGGAGACTGTGCAGCATTAAACAAAGAACAACAAAGAAGAAAATACTATACAAGAATGGATTTGTACCTGAACTGGCCCACCTCAATGTATTCAAACTGCTTTAGAACAAATCCAATGAAGACCTATAAGCAAAATGAATATTCATATTGAGTTATTAAAAACATAGTTTAAATAATTTACATTCACATAAAGCATACAAACATCAAATGTAATGAAGCAATTAAAATCACTTTCATATGTATTTTATTCCAGATAACCAAAAATACTTTTTATAATACTATTTTTAAAAGATAGAAAAATGTCTGTAATGTGCAGGGTCTGGACTGCAAATATATATGAACACATCATTAATTTCCTTTTTTTTAAGACAAGCAAAGAAGCTAGCTATTTTGTTTGTTTGTTTAGATGCTGCCCTTCTCTTTAAAAGCATCCAAGGTGGTTTACAGCTGCAGTCCCCAACCTTTTTAACCCCGCGGACCGGTTGGGGAAGGTTGGGCATCCCCCGCGCTCGTGCGCATGTGTGAACAAGCGGGCACTGTCTCGCACGGGAGCTTGTACGCAGGTGCAAAGGAGGGGGCATGCATGCTCGTGTGCATGCGCAAAAGGGGGAGAGCACTTGTGCAGGCACATGCTCGTGAGAATGTGGAAAGGGTGGAATGGCGCTCAGGGGGCACTCGTGCACATGCATGAAGGGGTGGGGGAGTGCTCGCGTGGGCACAGGTGCACACATGTGCAAAGAGGATGTGCAGGGATGGGAGTGCGTGCGGGGATGGGGGGGAGGTCTTTCTCCGGCCATGGACCAGCACCGGGCCACAGACCGGGGGTTGGGCACCTCTAGTTTACAGTATTAAAAGCTAAACAGTATCAGAATTTTAAAAATACAGTAATTAAACAAATATAGTATTAAAACGACAAGATAAAACAGTAGTATAAGTATATTAAAAATAATAATAAAAACTCAGCAATGTAATTTTAAAAATAGCTCTTAGAACTCAGTCACTAAGAAAATCCTTCCTAATGAGAAATGTTTTTAGCTGCTTGCAGAAAGACGGCAAAGATGCTATCAACCTGGCTCTCTATGGCAGGGAAGTCGAGAGTATGGGAGCTGCAACAGAGAAGGCCCTTTCCCATGTCCTGATCAAATGCACCCACAAGGGTGGAGGGACCAAGAGAATGGACTCCCCTGATATTCTAAAAACATGAGAAAGCTCATAAAGGGAGATACAGTCCTTAAGATGACTTGGGCAAAAACCAAAATCTGGGATAAATCAAGGAGCACACCCAAGCAGCACACCTGCCTTTTCAGGGAGAATGTAACCCCATCTAGGACAGGCTGAATCCTTATTCCCACAAGAACCTCTGTCTTGCCTTGATAAAGTTTCAGTTTATTCACCCTTATCTAGTCGCTTGCTGGCTGGATAGCTCAATGGTTTAGGTATCTAGCTGTGGAGCCAGAGGCTGTGAATTTGATTCCCCACTGTGCCTGCTGTCAGTACAGCTAGCCTGTGTGGACATAGGCAAACTGCACAGTCCCAGGGTTCTTCCAGAAGAAGGGAACAGTAAACCACTTCCGAGTATTCTCTACCTGGAAAACCCTGAAAAAGGCCACCATAAGTCGGAATTGACTTGATGGTACATGATTATTATTATCCAATCCATTAATGACACCAGACACCAATCTAGCACCATCACAGTTTCCTCAGATTTAGATGAAAATGATAGAGTTGGGTATCATCCACATAATGGTGACACTGAACCCTAAAACTCTGGACAACCTCTCACAGTGATTTCATGTAGATGTACGACAAAACAGAACTATGAGGGACATCTCAGGGCATTGAAAAAAAGGGCCCCCAGCACCATATTCTGAGTTCTCCTCTCCAGGAAGGACCAATGCCGCTGTAACACAATGCTCCCAAATCCCATCCCCGAGAGTCGCCCCCCAAAAATACTATGGTTGATGACACTAAAAGTTACTGAGAGGTCCAGCAAGGACATAGTCCCCCTGTCCAGTTTCTGGTATAGGTCAACCAAAGCAGTCCCCATTCCAGGCCTGATGCCAAACTGAAATAGATCTAGATAATCAGTTTCCAGGAGCTGTGAAGCCACCAGACTCCAATACCTTGCCTAGGAAAGGAACAGTGGAGATTGGCTGGTAATTATCCAATACCATGAGATTCAATGAAGGCTTTTTCAGCAATGGCATTACTACTGCATCTTTTAAGCATGCTGGGATCCTGCCTTCTTGCAGAAAGGCATTCACTATTCTTCTTACCCACTCAGTCAGTTCCTCTCTGGCAGCTTTTTTGAAGTCAGGAAAGACAAGCACCATAAAGCACAGTGGTGAAACTGCTGTACTGCAGCCAAAATTGTGCTAATGACCCGGGATTCAATCCCAGGCTGCCAGCTCAAGGTTGACTCAGCCTTCCATTCTTCCAAGGTCATTAAAATGAGCACCCATCTCATAGGGGGTGGGGAGGAATGTGTAGCCCCAAGAGTGCTTTAAGTGCTATGGGACAGGATATAAGCAGAACACTGTGCTTTTTCTTTTTGCTTTTTTTTTTTTTTTTTTTGCTTTCGTAGCCTTCACTTCTACACGCATCCTGTCTCCATCTTCAGACTGCAACAACTGAAACTTATTCATTAACATAGGACAAGCAGGGGCCACAGTTACATTCACAGGACCTGTATCAATTACAACATCCAAGTCAGAATGGATATGAGTGATTTTTGCCTGCGAAGTGTCACATGAATTCTTCACAGAGGGCTACAATTCTGTACTGACACATTGGTAGCAGAGAACAATGACTTCTTTGCTGCCACCATTGCCAGAGAGTAGGCCTTCCAGTGGACCCTAGCCCATGTTTAGTTGAATTCACTATGAGTTTTCCACCAGTGTTACTCTAATCCATAGGTCGGGGAACCGGGGTAAATTACCCCAAATGGGGTAAAAGTGAAAATCCTGGGGGTAATGAGGAGGATGCTACCCCCTCCCTCCCACCCACCCCCACCCTCTGGAGCCAAAGCTTTAATTGTAAACCACCTCGCCGTTACTTCCTTCCTTGCAGCAGGGCACTCCTAAATGCTCCGTTCTGTTAGAGAGATCAGAGAGATAAACCTAATTGGTTACAGGTGGGGATTAGCCCGGGGAATCAGCGAACCCGGGGCTTCTGAATGACTGCTTCCTCCGGAAATGACTGCAAACAAGCAGGAGGAGGGAAAGGAGCAAGCAAGGGAAGGAAGGAAGAAAGAAAGGTGCGAGAGACCTAGGACTTCGTCAAGCTTATTTAAATGTACAAAATGGAGGGAGGGAGGGAGGGGTGTGTGTGTGTGTGAGAGAGAGAGAGAGAGAGTGTGAGAGAGAGAGAGAGACAGACTGACTCAAAACTGAAAATGAACAGGCAGTCAAGCAAAAGAGAAACTTAATTAAGGCAGGGGGGGGGGAAAGGGTGGCTTTTTAAGGTGCTGTCTAGGTTTATTATTGCTTTCCTTCCAAGAAGCAGGCATCTTTTAATTTTGTGGCTGCTTTCACCATCTGCAGTGATCATGGAGCCCAAGAACGTAAATTTTGTCACTGCCTCAATTTCTTCCCCTTCTATTTCCCAGGAGGTGATGGGACCAGTGGCCATGATCTTTGTTTTTTTGATGTTGAGCTTCAGACCATTTTTTGCACTCTCCTCTTTCACCCTCATTAAGAGGTTCTTTAATTCCTCCTCACTTTCTGCCATCAGAGTGGTATCATCTGCATACTGGAGGTTGTTGATATTTTTTCTGGCAATCTTAATTGCGGCTTGGGCTTCCTCTAGTCCGGCCTTTCACATGATGTATTCTGCATTTAAATTAAATAAGCAGGGGGACAATATACAGCCTTGGTCAGGCACTCCCATTTCTTTAAGAACTTGCCATAGTTTGCTATGGTCCACACAGTCAAAGGCTTTTGTGTAGTCAATGAAGCAGAAGTAGATGTTTTTCTGGAACTCTCTGGCTTTCTCCATAATCAGCACATGTTAGCAATTTGGTCTCTAGTTCCTCTGCCCCTTCGAAATCCAGCTTGTACTTCTGGGAGTTCTTGGTCCACGTACTGCTGAAGCCTGCCTTGTAGGATTTTGAGCATAACCTTGCTAGCATGTGAAATGAAATTGCATGGTAGTTGGAGCATTCTTTGGCACTTCCCTTCTTTGGGATTGGTATGTAGACTGATCTTTTCCAATCCTCTGGCCACTGCTGAGTTTTCCATTGATGATGATAAAAAAAGCACACTGGTCCTTTGGTATTGGGCTGTGGCACCAGGGTGGGTGACATGACCTTTAGCCTGGTTTGTTCCTTTTTGCACACTACACATAGAATGATTAAAGTGGTAGGGAAAGGCCCCCCTCCAATTCTGTGTTGGCTGTCTCTAGCAAGCATGTCATTGCTAGAAACACTCTGGCAGCCACCTCTGCGAGCTAGCAAAAATTTAATGCAAATTGCTAAGCACGTTGGACACCTAACTACTCCCTATACCACACCATGGCTGGAGTGCAATATGTTCCAGCAAAAATAGTGCACATCTTTATCAAATTTGGTGCATCCTGCTAGTTTGGTACACAGCCTTTGTAGATTCAATAATATTTTTAATTCAAATAATGTATGATTTCCTTCCTTTCGAATCAAGGGGGTAATGTCGGCGTATATACATTTTTTGTGGGGTAAAAGGTAAAAAAGTTCCCTGACCCCTGCTCTAATCTCTGTCCCACTTGCTTTAATACCAAGAGCTCCCTGGCAAACCAGGGAGCCAGTTTGATTCTGCTTCATGGTGGGGGGGGGGAGAGTAAAATTTAACTCGATATCAAACAGCATATTCCTGATAGATCAGTGTGAAGAGAATGTTTTTAAAGCTACTGCTTCTGTGGTGGTTAAAAAAGAATTTAGAGGCATAAAGAGAAATACTGAATAAGGAAATATGCAAAGTGCTAAAATGTGTCAATTACCATATTACACAGGTTAAAGATCCCACACAAGAAAATCAGAAACCACACCTAAGTTTTTTAGCACCAGAAGAATTTTTTAAAAAAAGTTTTATCACTAACCCTCTTGGGTTCCTATTGAGATGGCAAACAGGTAGCGGGCTATCTTAACAACCTATTTGACAGACTAACTGTTGATCAATTTCAGGACTTTCAGAAAAAAAGAATTGTTAGAATGTCAGGCAAAATTGCTAAAAGATCTCTTTGTAACTTCTTTTTATTTCAAAACCATGAAACACGAGGTCTACAAAACTCTTCCAAAAATCCTACTGCACAACAGAAGGCAGGGCCAACATCCAACGACATGACAGCTCCTCTTCCTGAAGGGGACCAAAATGATAAGAAGTTATTTGCCACTCAGTGGGAGGTCCTATACCAAAGGTTCCAGAATGCCCTTAGGGAGCCAAAATAGAATATAAATAAATCTGAAATATTTGATACTTAAACTACTTTAAATACTGAAAAACACCATGCTTTATTATCTATACAGCTTGTCCATTTAAATAAAAACATGAGTGGCTGCTTGTCTGTAATTAACTCTGTTACAAGGAAGCTGAAGAACTTACCTGATCGGAATCTAGAAGGCAGTAGTTAACTCGTAGTTGAACAAGCTGTGCAAGAAGATCTAAAACTTGCCTCTGCAGCTGTACTGATGTTGTTGTGGTATACTGCTTTAAAGCTTTGATGACAAGGGGCTCAAACAAACGAATGTGATTATGTATCATATTCTGTAAAAAAATGGGAGAAATGCATTTTGCTCAATAAGATTCCAGTCAGAAAGGAAGACTGCCTGGCTAAAGCAGTATAAACCTCATGCTGTCCATGGCCATCATGAGCCTCATTCTAATCATTTGATTATTTGATTTATATCCCATCTTTCTTACTAAACTGGGACTCAGGACAATTCAAAATAAGATTAACGGGAAGGTACAGATAAAAATACAAATTTAAAAAACACTAAAATAGCCTGTTTCCCTAAAAATAAGACCTAACCTGAAAATAAGGCCTAGTATGATTTTTCAGGATGCTCATAATATAAGCCCTACCTCAAAATAATTGTTGTTTATTTGTTTATTTGTTTATTTATTTATTTATTTATTTATTTATTTATTTATTTATTTATTTATTTATTTATTTATTTATTTATTTATTTATTTATTTATTTATTTATTTATTTATTTATTTATTTGATTTATATCCCGCCCACCTGGTCAAGTAGACCACTCTTTGGGTAAGAAATGAGGGCTCGTGGTTAATATATTATTGAGCCCATATCTTGGAAGTAACTACCTAAATGTGATGTAACTACCTGTAACTAGTCACAACAAGACACATTTATTTATTTATTTATTTATTTATTTATTTATTTATTTATTTATTTATTTATTTGATTTATATCCCGCCCACCTGGTCAAGTAGACCACTCTTTGGGTAAGAAATGAGGGCTCGTGGTTAATATATTATTGAGCCCATATCTTGGAAGTAACTACCTAAATGTGATGTAACTACCTGTAACTAGTCACAACAAGACACATTTTAAAATAAGCCCCAGTTAAGTGAAACCCCACCTTCCACCAGCAACTCATTGTGCAGTAACCAGAAGAAGATGACAACATGACTGTATTTGAATAAATGGAGATTGTTGTACATGAAAAAAATTAAAACATCCCCTGAAAATAAACCTTAATGCATTTTTTGGAACAAAAATTAATGTCTTATTTTCAGGGAAACACGGTATAAACACAATTGAAAAATATATATAATATTGAAAGAAATTAAATTTCAACCAATTTTAAAAGGAATAATTTAAAACATAGAGCACCTAGCCCTCCTCAGTAATTAGTCAACTTCTCAGAGGACGCTGCCTGACAACCAATAGACTAATGAAGTTGCGGAAGAATAGGCAAAATGTGGTTCCTCGGCAAAAGGTAACACCATACGTTATTAAAATAAGTTAATTCTGGAGGCGAAAGGAACTCTTTGGGTAAGAAATGAGGGCTCATGGTTAATATATTATTGAGCCCATATCTTGGAAGTAACTACCTAAATGTGATGCAACTACCTGCAACTAGTCACAAGACACATTTTAAAGTAACATAACAAGAAGTTATGCAATTACTTTTGGGGGGTAACATCTAGTCAGGTTCAAACATTACTTTTAAAATGCGTTTTAAGTCTTTTTAGAGACATTTTGACATGAATTTTCCAATGCCACCCTCTTATCAATTTTAGGTGCCAAAGGAAGTACTGTTTTGTTGTCCACTGTATTTTTAAAGTATTTCTGCAGTGCAATATCAGAACAGGCTGCTAGATGGAACTGCAACATGTTTCTCTGTAATTTTCCAACATGTTGTACTGATTCTAATTGCTGGGCCTTGAGCTCAAATGCTTTACAAACGCCTAGACTTCTTAGTCTTTTTCTTCTTCTATTTTGTTTTATTTATATGCCGAATTTCTCCTATCAAGGGGCCCAAAGTGGCTCACAACATTAAAATTCACACAATTTGAAAACAAAATAAGTTAAATATTAAAAGATAAATTAAACAATATATAAATTAAAATACAATTAAAAGATTAAAACATGAAAAACAAAAAAGATTAAAATTATCTACTAAAATGGGGTCCAGGGATTCAGTTATACAGTGGTGCCCCGCTTGACGACGACCCCGGTAGATGACAAAATCGCTTGACGATGAGTTTTTTGCGACTGCTATTGCGATCGCAAAACAATGGTTCCAATGGAGCTTTTTGCATTACATTGATTAGGAGCCTGCTTTGTGAACCGTTTGTTCGCTAAACGATGATTTTTCTGGTTCCGCAAAATGGCTTTCCTCCGCAAAATGGCTTCCCTCCCTTCGCAAAATAGATGCTTTCCGGACCCCTGCTTTGAAAGACAGCAATTTTAAACAGCTGATCAGCAGTTCTCTATGGGTGATCTTTGCTTGACAATGAGGTATTTCCCCATTGGAATGCATAAACCGGTTTTCAATGCATTCCAATGGGGTGTGGTTTTTTTGCTTGACTACGATTTCGCTTAACAGCGATTTTCCTGGAATGGATTATCGTCATCAACTGGGGCGCCACTGTAATTGTTAAGAGTCTGCCTGAAGAGATGGTCTGTAGCTTTTTTCAAAAGGATAAAAGGGAAGGGGCCATTCTGATCTCCTGAGGGAGACCATTCCATAGCCTGGGAGCTGCCACAGAGAAGGCCCCCTCCCGTGTCC